CGATTAATCGATTAATCGTGGCAGCCCTAGTCAGGACTCAGGTGTGAGGGGAGGTCAGGGTCAGGTAGACACCTGGGGTTATGTTGAGAAGGATCTTCACTCAGGTAACACCTACCTGTGTTTCTGAAAGCCTAACACCTGAGACATGCACAGAGTCATCACTGTTAGTGTTCAGCTGAAGCCTGTTACCTGTAAACAGCTGAGCTACAGGGTCACCTGGAGGCGGAGCTAACACAGTTTGTCTGTTACCTGTAAACAGCTGACCTACAGGGTCACCTGGAGGCGGAGCTAACACAGTTTGTCTGTTACCTGTAAACAGCTGACCTACAGGGTCACCTGGAGGCGGAGCTAACACAGTTTGTCTCATGTTTCAGTCAGCTGCTGAAGGACCCTCAGGTTCTGTTCGCTGGTTACAAAGTTCCTCATCCTCTGGAGCACAAGGTCGTCATCCGGGTCCAGACCACACCTGACTACAGTCCTCAGGTACCTGTGACTGAGCACACCTGTCAGTGTTTATCTGAAATTAATCTAAAGATACAGCACAGGTGTGCAGGGGGCGGAGTCACCTGGTTATGTTGACAGGAAGTGTGTCTGTTCTAACAGGAAGCGTTCACCAACGCCATCACAGATCTGCTGAGTGAGCTGTCGCTGCTCGAGGAACGCTTCAGAGTGGCCATCAAGGACAAACAGGAAGGCATCGAGTGACCCCGCCCCCACTGTGACCTCACTTCCTGTATTACTCTGTTTTTCTTAAATAAACACACGATGTCAGACGCTTTGATTGGTGATTGGTCAGTTCTGTTAGAACCGTCCACCTCATGGACACAAAGGAGTCGGAGCAAAGACTGAAAACAGATTTTATTGTTTGTGTAAAAAAATAAAAACAGGAAGTGCAGCCTCAGAGCCTCTGCTCACAGCACCTTCAGGGGTCACAGTCTCTCTGCGCCTCCATGGCTCGCTGCATCTTCTCCACCATCCATGGAGGAACTGTGAAGGGCTTCAGCTCGTCCATCCTGACGTCAGGACAGTCCCTGAGGAGACACAACAACACACCTGTCAGTGTACACACCTGCTGCTGTCCACAATCATTTCCACCACCACTCATTAATACTGACCTGGAAATATACAGATAATATAAATTCTATGTAGTTTAAATCTATCATTGATTTTAGAATCAACTCAGTGACTCAATAATCCATAACATTTTCACAAATATAACAAAGATGATGAGTGGTACTTTAATTACTAATGGTAGTGATCACCTACCAGTTGTCATAATTTATAAAAGTGATAAATGTAGACACAAGTAAGAAAAAAAGAACTGACATTAAAAAAAGCTATGGATAATTTAAAGGATGATTTGGGAAAATAAAACAGGACAAAGTGTGTTAGAGATGTGAACAAAGCATACGACGCTTTCATGAATATATTAGGATGTTTGTGTGAAAAAAAATACACAAAGCAAGATGTTGATGAGCAAAGGGCTGAAAAGTACTTGTAAAAAAAGAACTACAGTACTTGTACTCGTGCTTCTTCAGACAAGAACAAAAGAATCAGGAGAAAGATATAAGAAATATAAAAACAAGTTGGTTTGGATTATATGAAAACAAAAGGAGTATTATATTATATTATTAGACAAAAACAATGGTGATACAACAGCAACATGGCAAATAATGAATAATGTTGTGAAAAACGGTAAAATCAGGAACTCCACAGAATTTTGTAAAGGATGTTGTTGAAATTCATGGTTAAAATAAGTTTCAAATGGATTCAATCATTTTGTGAAGGTTGGCCCAAGTCTTACATCTAAAACACCTGGAGTAGATAAAAACTGTTACAGGTTGTGTTAATAGTTTATTTCTTTATGAAGCTGATGAAGAAGAAATAACAAATATTGTATAAAAATCTTGCAGACAGAAGAAAAGACTGGGCTGACATGGACATGATGTTTGTAAAACACATAATGAACTCTGTGATTTTTACAAACATCTGTAATTTATCACTTTCAACTGGTTTATTTCCAAACAACATGAAAATATTAAAGTTAATTCTTCTTTTTAAAAAAGGTGAAAAACCTGTGTTTAACAACTACAGACCAGTATCCCTGTTACCCAATTTTCAACGACTTTACAGAAACTGTGATTAGATTGGACCAATTAACTGATAAGCAGAATATATTAAGTAACAGTCAGTTTGGGTTTAGACCAAAAACTTCTACATCGATGGTTCTGATTGAATTAACTGAACACATAACAACTGCTGTTGATCTAAATCAGTACTGTGTCAGTATTTTTGTTGATTTAAAAAAATCATTTGATACTATTAACCATAGTATTTTTTAAAAGAGGACCTGCATTACAGTGGGCATGTTTGGAAGATAGAAAACAATTTGTAGAAATAAATAATGTAAGATCTGAGTTCTGTAACATCTCATGTGGAGTGCCACAGGGCTCCATTCTCGGACCTGAGTTATTTATTTTGTCTGAATGATTTGGTCAATGTGTCGGGACTTTTTGGATGTGTTCTATTTGCTGATGATACAATAATCTGTTCTGGTAAACATTTAGAACAAATGTTGGACATGATACAGACAGAATTTATGTAAATACAAGGTTGGTTTCAACTAAATAAATAATCATTAAACTTGAATAAGACAAATTATATGATTTTCTGTAACAATAAGAGAACTGTAGACGTCTCATTTAACATTAATGATGTAGATCTGTAGAGTCAGTGAAGTGAAGTTTCTAGGTGTCATTATTGATAAAAAAAAACCTGACATTAAACATCATATAAATGGTTTAAGAACAAAAATAGACAAATCAACTGGAGTCCTGTACAAAGTAAGAACTGTTCATGATAGGGTTACGGTTAAATCACTGTTTATGTTGTTTAACACTATAACTGTTCCACATTTAATTTATTGTACTGAAGTCTGGGGTAAAGCTTGTAAAACTATCACAAATCCTATTTTTATTTACAGAAAAGAGTTATAAGAGTTATTACTAGAAACAATTACAGCCATCCATCTAATACTCTATGATTTGGTTGATTCTGATATTTTAGTGTTAATGTACAGAGCTCATAAAGGTGTGTTACCTTTAAACACTCAGGTAAGTTTAGTTAAAACAGAGCTGTTATTGTCTTAAAGGAACAGAAATGTTTGTGAAACCCTGGTTCTGTACGAGCCTGAAGGACTGATCCACTTTAATCCAGGGATTAAGATTATGGAACAGCATCAGATTATGGAACAGCATCAGATTATGGAACAGCATCAGATTATGGAACAGCATCAGATTATGGAACAGCATCAGATTATGGAACAGCATCAGATTATGG